TAATGTCATAATCATACGACAATAAAACACATCGACATTATAGGTTCCGTTGCATGTCATAGCAATCCAAGTGTTGTTTACAAAGCAAAAACAATATTCCTTAAGTAATTTACAGAGCGAGCAATTATAGTTGATTTAAATTGTTAATTTATTTATCATTATTTAATAAAGTACAGTACAGCATTAGATCGTCAAATTGCAATTTATTTGTAATATTTACACAATCCAAACAATACACTACTACAATCATATAAGTAAACGGGTTTTTGTTTTATATACACGATACTTTATAACATTTAGGAAAATTATCTAAAAAAAAAACTAAAAGTAAAATATATATTGATAAACTCATTGCCAACACATAGTGTTTAACGGTAGATAAATGATTAAAAGCTATGAATAATTTCTAACAAACACATTCGAATAATACACAAAAATATCAATTAAAGTCACACTACATTAATATTATTGAATTGAAATAAAAGTGACAACATTTTAGTTTACTAAGGCACTAAGGCATTTAGTTACAACATACAATTATTAGCGCTAAGTTCTAAATAGCCTCGAGTATTTGCACATTCTTACGGACAGTCACTGCTGCACTGGCTTTAGAAATATTGGGTTCTTAGTTACGTTCTACGCAGCACTTTTAATTTTTTTACTACCAATTCATTAGCACTAAATAAAAAAATTTTATATGTATACTTTTTGGATGTGTTTGCGATATTTTCATTATTGCAATTTAGATTTAGGAATTGTATTTTTCATCGCTGGTCAAAACATTGTACGCACAGCCCAACGCCCATGAAATTTCATGTCCATCGATTTTTTTGTAAAGCTGCGTATTAAAAACATAAAATTATTAACGAAAAAATCCCAAAAAGAAAATTTTGGTTAGTATTACCTTTATTTTCTTGCTATCGCCCAATCCGTAACCTTCGCGCAACAAAACCGATATAAAAGTCAAATCGAAGCACATAAAAGGCTGTTCGTCATTCGCAATGCTACATATTTCCTCCGCCTTTTTGCGATAAGCAGACACAGTAATCTCACCGCCTTGGAAGGGGTCAATAAGCCCAGATTCTATGGCACGTTCGAAATAATAGCTAAAAGCAGCTACCGTATGTTGCTTCAATGTGAAGGGTTTCGGTTTAACCAACGGTAAAACTTGAGTTTTGACTGCCTCTAAGCACTGCTCAAAGTCTACAATCGGCTCTTCAGCTGTAGATTTCGGATTAGATTTGCCACTGTAAAAAAAAAAAGCAATTATTTAAAATATGGATCAAAATACACAACTGCAAGCTTTTACCTGACTTGATATTGTACATTTGAGTAAGTCCATGTACGATTGTTAATTATTGGATTAATGCACACAGATTCGACATTAGTCTCATCTTTGCTGTAACCCTTCGTAAATACTGAGTGACGCGCCGCCATTAAACCCAATCCTAAGTAACTGTGCGTAAAGACGGCAATTTGCCGATTCAATGTATTCACTTCGTGCATATACTTTTCGTATAGCGGTAATTGATCGGGGTCTGTGGGTGCAAAAGTGACTTGTGTACTACCGCCACCCAAATCCAAGGCCGCGGCTTGATTGACTTTGGAAAGGCGACCAAGCAAAAAGTTAACTGTAAACCACGAAAAAATTCCCTCGTCAGTTCCATCCATAATCTCTACTGCATCTGGCTCAACGCTAAATCCCGACTTCTCGAAAAGTTCACGCACGGCATTTAAAAGATTTTCGGCCTTATGTTGTGGCAGAAGTCGCAGGCCCGCTGTAGCTTTCAGCACTAAAGGCGTCGTTGACCATTTTTCTTTGGGTACAAACGCTTTAGCGTCATCAAGTAGCAGTTTAATGGAATGTGCACCTTGGGATGGATTTTCCGCAAAAGACGAGAGTCCCGGCTTGCGTTCTTTGAAAAGCTCCTCAGACAAGACCAGCTTGTTGTCTTTACAATTGTAGGAAAAATTATTGTTAAACTTAGGGTTGATATAAAGGACAACGTAAATAACTGAATACAATTTTTATTTACCAATAAAGCTTCTATCAAATTTGTATGCCAAAACCCGACTACCGGTCGAACCAGCGTCGATGATAACAGCAAACTGATTGCGTGTGTAACCTAGTTTTGATGCCAACCGCACCAAAAATGGGCTGGTGGAGTCCAAGTAAACACCTGCAGTTATAATTATTATAATTCTTCAAATACTGCTTAAATCATTATAAAAAATATTTACCGAAAAAGAATAGCAGAAATGTAGCAGACAATACCAGACAGAGAAATGAAAGCTTTAGTCCTCTAGGTAAGCCCTTCGATCCACCACCGTTTGGACTTGCAGATTTACGTCTAATGGTAGCAGCACCACCCGCTTGGTCATCGTTTGTGTTCAACTACAAGTATGAAAGAAAGATAATACAATTTTTTGTACACATTCGTAGTTTATTTTTTTCTCAGGAGAATTAGAATTACCGACATTACGGCAAACTTACCAATTGGTATTCAAACTTCATTATACGACATTTACTTAAACATTTTGTTTCGCTTTATTGTCTAAATACACTTAAATTAAGCCATTCGGCTGTATAAATATTTAACTTTGTAAAAGACTAACTCAGTTTTAGTAAAATTGTTGTAAATGCGGCAAACTGAAACGTCAAAAATGATTTGTTGTCGTAGCAGAAGGTCGGTGAGAAAAATAAGTACAATGATGTTATCGAAAACCAGCTGAGCACTTGAGCACTTATATCGTATTATAGAAAATTGTAAAGCACACTCAGAGAACGTATATACGGTCTACGGACAACCGGCATAGCGTAAAAGACGGTGCGAAAAATTTCCAGAACTTGAAATCTCAAATATTCTCTTTATATTTAAGTATGATATTGAAATAACGTAGCTATTTTTTCTATAATAAATACATACATTTTTTTAAAGTGGAAAATACATAAATAAGGAAAAAGCTATTTTATATAATTTTATGAAATATTTTGAAATGTCATTTTGCTATTTAATTACCATGCAAAATTTAACTGTGAGTCAATTAAATGAAAAGCGTTTTCGTATCATTGTTAAATAACCTTAACAGTTTATCTTATCTAAAATCAGCAAATTTTAAAATTGTAGAAAAAAAAAATTCCTTACATTACATTATCCTCTACTCTAGACATTCTCTTATCAGTGAAGTGTGTATAGTTATAAGTAAAAACCAAGGCAATAGTGGTTAGATATTATATATATATGTACATACTATAAATATTTTGCAAGCACACCATGACACAACAATTATATACCGGAATTTTCGAACTTCCTACATTACACATGCGAGTGTACAAAATTTTTTTTTAAATTAAATCTTTTTTTATATGCTTTTATATTGGTAGAGGTATCTTTTTTAAAGTTTTTTGTATACAGCTGACAAAATAGTGGAGAAATAAAGGTAAACTAAATAAAAAACATAATTTAAATCTATTCATGATAAATGAGCCCTGACCACAGAGAATCTCACGTCACTGTTGTATTTTTTTTAATGACCAGCAAACGCGCTACAATAATGTCATTTAACTTGGCATCAAACGTGCAATTTTATATATAGAAAAATAAACTTTGATCTAACACCAAATAGCTTGTAGGTATTTGTTACGATAGAAATGATAATTACTCAACAGCATCAGTGAACTAGGCAAATATATACATATGTACAATATATATTGATATTAGAAGTCAAATAACCTACACAATAAATTTTAAATTAAGTTTAATTGCCAATTTTGTAACAAAAGTGTTAATAAAATATTTGAGATAAAACAGTATTGTATGTTTATCTAGTCTAGCCTTCTGATCTCGAAAAACTACGAAAGTACCAACTGCATGTGCAAAGGTTCTTAATAGTTCATCACATGTCATAGAAAGCTAAACCGGTAAAACTTGCCCACCTCACAATTCATTATACTGCCTGTGCCTTCTGTAAGCCGCTAAATTTCGGCTGAATTTCTAGCTTGCGGCTAGTTAGAAAAGTACTGAAATTATAATAATTTAAAACAATGCATTTGTTAATTTACTCACCTTACGTTGCCGCACATCTTTTGGCGACGTCATCTTATTTTATTTGTTCGTTATTTGCTTATATCAATGTAATGCGCAAATAGTATAAATTTGATTAGGCACTGCTAATGTCAAGTCGTTATATTGGCTAGTTACGTGCGTTAATATCCACTAAATAAATATGAACAATGCACTGGCTTAGTATGTTTACTTTATTCAGCACGACTCTACAAGTTGGACATGTTTTCTTCCGTCGCGTTGTAAGTTTGCCCTTACTTCGAACTTATTAGTGACAAGCAAATATTGCAATAGCACAGTGTTTCATAAATTTAACACATTGCGCTTTAATTTCACAGGAACTACTAAAATTAGTGGCGAAATTAGACAGCGACCGGTAATGCAAAGGCAAACAAACACACAAATGTTTAGAAGATTAGTAGTTGAAGAATGGCAGCCCTAAAAGTAGAAGCGCATGCAACACTGTGGATGATGGGGTACACAAACAATTTTCGCTGTCTAATTTCTTAGCTTTGGTTTAAATGTTAGTGTTGTTTTTAACAGATAGATAAATAATAATTATTATTATATGAGGTAATGAAGAAAAAAAGCAAAGTCAAATTAATATGGCATCACATATAAAACTAGTATTAAAAAACTTTATATTATTTTTAATTTGTAATACTACTTGACTTTTTTTATATCTTATATAACATAATTTAAGAAAATAATACTTATATTTGCAATTTTTTCTACCTTTCAACTTGTTTCTCATAAACTCATGCGCTCAAGAATGTGGCAGCGCTTGTCAATCAAAATCAGCTGTAATGTAGAGTTGAAATTTTAGCACTTTCTTTTCTACTACCTTTTAGTACATCACTACCTAAGTTTTGTTGTTGCGGCAGTGTGATTTTTCGCTAAAGTTGTGACAGCTGAATAAATTGGAATAATTTGTATCCCTGCTGCAAGTAGTCTTAAAATCCATTGCGCGTGCTGGCATATATAAAATAGAAATAGAGGAACATAAATAATTCTTGTAAAGTTCTTGAGTTGTTCGGATGTGCATTTTAATACCCGTACAACGTTGTGCAAGTGTTTATAAATAAAAATTGTTAAGTAGTGTCGAGATACGACAATCAATTGCAGTAGGCGTGAAGAAAAGTTCGAAATATTGAAAATTATTAACATAAAAGTATTATACAATTTTTCAATCTGAAGAAAATTTTTTACTGAACGCAATAATAAAATCAATTAGTGTTTAAAGCAGCTGTCACGCATTCGTTGAAAAAAAGAAAGCAGATAAAATGAGTGAAAAAGTGAACCAGCCGCTGAGTAATGAAACCAGCAACGCCCAGGTGGCGACCGGCCTTAGTAATAACAATCGACAAAGTCAAGATCAGCAGCAACAAACTACTGACCAACAATCAGTTGAGAAAAAAGAAGTACGCGTCTGGTGCGATGGATGGTGAGTCATTTTACATTTCCCTTATGTTTTAGATACCTTTAGGAAATATGTATACAATATACCACGAAGTCATTGATATATTAAAATATTTGCTATATATGTATGTAGATATAAATTTTGACTTCATGCCTAATATTATATAATGTTGCGTCATTATTCAATGAAAAGTTTGGAACAGCATTATTAAATTTGAACAGTTTTGTTAAATAATTCGGTAAAAACCAAGCATATATAAATATGTATTTTGTTTTGAGCTATGGCTATTTTATTGATGCATCCAACAAAAGTTTGCTTAGGCGTTCCGTGTTTTGAACACATGGCCACCATAAATGATAAAGAGCATTAAATTCATGGTCAGAAGGTAGTCGCTTGTGAATGCCTACTACATATATGCCCTTGACATTGATGCAAGCACAAATTTTGCATTGTGGCAAAATGCACAAGATACTCGAATGTTATTGAAAAATCTACAACAAAAAATGAAATGTCAGCCGTTCGTAAAATAACCATTTACGATAGTCAGTCATTCAATTAGCGGCGATACTCACTTGGCAGCAAACTTGGTGCATAGGCATGTTTATTTGTGTGACCACAAATACATAACCATACGCATGCATTCTACATAACGCCTACATTGTAGTTCCGCTATGTACTGATAAGAGTAGGCCAGTTCCGGCTTGACATGATAAGCGAAATATGCCGCCAAAGGCTCTATATCTTTAACATGCTTTCATTTTCTTGAAAAGTGCAAAATATGTTTTGATTGCCATGTATTATTATTATTTTCCGGTGCATACACTGATTATTATCGCTTTTTCGCATTTACTCATGTTATTAAAAATTGTGTGATAAAAAAATTGCAAACATCGTTTGCAAAATGACAGAGTATATTTAATGTTAATTAATAGGCATTTAATGTTTTCTCTTTCATTGCATATGTATGTATGCAATGTGCTACCCATAATCCCTCAATATTATTTGCATATACTTACTATAGTTATTCGTATGGAATTTTCCGCTGGTACTACCTGTACGCTAAAGCATACAGTATATTGCATTTAAATCACTTCGCAGCCAATGCGAATATGGCAAATGTTAATTGGTAATTAGCAAAGCAACTTGTTAAGTTATAATTTTTTTTTACATAAAGTGAGCTGTAAGGGAAGCATATTGCAAAAAATATATATATTTAAATATTAAAACTCATTCTACATATATTTGGAAACATTTTTGTTTATTAAAGATAAATTATTGGGTAGTCGATAAAGTATTTTCGTATTTTGTCAATAGACAGTCCTATATATCCAGTGCTACCATCACATTGTGTCACACTATATGGTGTTGAAAAGATGAGATTTTAGGCTTTATTTAACAAAGAAAAAATTAAATTCAGAGAAGTTGAAAAGTAACACTGTTCAAATATGAATGAAAATAATGCAGAAATTCAGTATATTTTGAAATATTTGAATAAAAAAGAGAAAAATGCCGCGCAAGCAACCAATGAAATTTGTGAAGTTTACGGGGACGATGCGGTATCAGTATCATGTAGCACAACAATGGTTCGCTCGTTTCCGTTCTGGAAATTTCGATTTACATTGATGGAATAATGTCTCTAGCGGAAAAATGGCAAAAAGCGCTCTATCAAAATGGTACATATTTGTTTATTTATTTATTAGTATAAAAATAAAAATAAAATAAGTTGAAGTTTGATTAGAATTACAAAGAGACTTTTTCGACTAACCAATATTTGAAAACACATTTGTGTTTATACAATAATAATCAGAGTTGCGAATTTTGAATTAAAAATAATTAATCCGAAATTAGCTTTTAAAAATTTAGTTTCATTATTTAATTCGTAATACGGAATTAAATTGGAGAGTTAATTTTTTATCCAAAAATCGGAATTGGAAATTGAAAAAATATCTTTTAAATTAAAACGAATTAATAAAAACTTTATTTTTCACAAGAAAAGCTGAAGAAATATAGGTAAATAAATATAGGTATAAAGATATTGGGATAGCAATTTTTATAATTATTAATTC